CTTAAGTACCTTGGCCACACTTCCACTTTACTCTGACTTGCATTCTCAGACAGACCTAAAAGAATTCAAAGGTCACTGCCTCTAAGGCTACTGGCCACTACCTCAGGCCTCACTCTCCTTGCCCATCTGCCCCCTTTAGTATTTCTTAAACCATTAATGCCCTGTTGGGCAATGACTAAGGAGGATAGAAGGAGAATTGATGCCTTTGAGCTGTGGTCCTGGAGTATTGAGGGTACCATGGACTGTTAGGAAAACAGACAGATTTATCCTGGAAGGGGTTAAACTGGGAGGCTCCGTCTAACATACTTTGGACATGTTGTGAGGAGAGACCGGTCCTTGGAGAAGGACATGATGCTTGGGAGGGTGGAGGGACAGTGCAGGAGGGGAAGGCCCTCTATGAGGTGGATTGATTCAGTGACTGGGATAATCGGGATAGGGTAGCTATAAGTCACAAGCAACTCGACGCACATAACAATGCCCTGTCTTTCCTCGATTTTTCACAACACTGCACTAGACTTTAAGGGAACTCTGCTAGTCTAGTAGGGAGTTCTGATAGTCTAATGTAGGGAAATGGGCTGTCATCCAAAGGGAGATGATTCAGACCACCGTCTGCTCAGAGGAAGAAAGATGGGGATTCTCCTCTGGAGCACTTTTCAGCCTCTGAAAACCCACTGGAGGGTCAACCATGAGTCCTTTCTGACCCAACGGCAGTGAGTGAGTGAGTGGCCCCAGTCTCTGAACTAGTTTAACTTCCTACTAAAATGTCCACTTTTCTTTGTGTTTCTAAATCTTCAGAGTTCTATTTTTGACACGCTTTTTAGGACTTGCTGACCCACAGAAATCACTTGATACAATGCTCTTTTACCTGCAAAAAGATTCTAGCAGGAAGCCTTGATCTGAGCGGTGTGTGATAGAAGAGAGGACTCCAGCGCAGGGTCAGCTCGTTCTGAATCAAGGCTCCATAGCTTCGGAGAAGGGGAAATACAACTAGAGTCTCTGATGTTCTCTCTTTAAAAGAAAGCCAGCCGTCTGGCCTCTTGGCCCTTTTTTGTCTTAACAAGGAATTACATGGGATGCAGTAGAAACAGAATGACTATGATAAGGCAGGCATCTAATTAATCCCTCCACTACACAAATTTACGGAAGTCTTTGTACTTCCTGAGCAGCTTACCAAATGTTCCTATCTAACAGCTGTCTGAGTTTGAAACACAACTGTTTCTTTTAATTACCTAAATGAGAGCTAGGGGGTCATTTTTGTGTGGCTCTTTTGCTGATAACATTCAGGGGCATTTTTCTTATATTGATGATATTTATTTATCAGGTAATTTCTTTAAAAATAATTTCTTGCATTTCCACTTAATTGTAGCATGAATCTGTATAAGGGAATGGAAATAAAATATTTGTAAAACATCTCTGATGAAAATATGCATATCGCTCAGAAAGAAAAAAAGCAAAGAAACAGTTTAAAATTAGCAGAATCCAGTGCAGGTGTTTCACCAAAGAATACCACTCATGAGGTGACAGCAGTGTGACAGAGAGCGAGTACAGGTATGAGAAGATGATCAATATAATTTATCATCATGCAATTATTAAAGCATCACTGGCTTACCACACACACACACTGGTTGTTGTTGTTATGTGCCGTCGAGTCGTTTGCGACTCATAGCGACCCTATGTACAACAGCCCTAAACCCTGCTCTATCCTGTGCCAATTGCACTGCCTCTGACACACCCATCCCGATTACCCCAGTCACTGAATCAATTTATCTCATAGAGGGTCTTCCCCTCTTGCGCTGTCCCTCCATCCTCCCAAGCATGATGTCCCTCTCCAAGGACCTGTCCCTCCTTACAACATGCCCAAAGTATGTCAGATGAAGCCCCAGAATCCTTGCCTCCAAGGAGTTGCTTGGTTTAACCCTCTCCAGGATGAATCTGTTTTCTTGGCAGTCCATGGTACATTTAATACTCTTCTCCAGCACCACAGCTCAAAGGCGTCAATTCTCCTTCCATCCTCCCTAGTCATTGTCCAACTCTCTGCTGCATAACAAGTGATTGCAAAGACCATGGCCTGTATCAGGCACACCTTAATCTCCAGAGAGACACCTTGCTCTTGAATACTTTAGAGAGGTCCCTAACAGCAGACTTTCCCATCGCAATACATTTTTTTATTTCCTGACTGCTGGTGCCAAGAGTGTTGACCATGGAGCCGAGCAAACTGAAGCTGTGAGCAATCAATCTCAATCTCTTCGCCATCCATCCTGATGCTACCAATTGCTCCAGTAGTGAGAATATTTGTCTTCTTGACATTGAGCCGCAGTCCATACTGAAGGCTGCAGTCCTTGACCCTCTGCAACAAGTGCATGAGGTCCTCCTCAGTTTCAGCAAGCAGGGTTGTGTCATCTGCATAACGCAGTTAGATTGACTAACATCCCAAACCCTGACAACACGAAATAGTCATGAGGGTACAGAGCGACAGAACTCCCCACTTATTACTGGTGGGAGCAGAAATGCCCTTCTCAAAGACAATATGGAGATTTCTTGCAGAGAGAAATATGAGTTCACTAACATAATCCATTAACTATGCTGCTAGACATTACTGGAATGAGTTGAAAACTTTGGGCCACACGCACACAAAACAAAAAAATCAAACGTGCATATGAATGATTGTTGTTGATTGTCGTCGAGTCGAGCACGACTAGTAGCACCCTATGAACAAGAAGCCTGAAGCCTTTCTATAACTATCATCATTTATCAAAGTTCATAGAGTTTCTGAAGGCACAGCAACTTTGTAATTGCCAAAACTTAGGGGCAATACACATGTCCTTCAGTAGAGAGATGGATGAAGTAATTGTGGTATATGCATATAATATGCAACTGAATAATCTCCAGGGATCAATAGAAATGTGCTATCAAGCCAAAAAGAGATGTTTTTGGAAAAGACAAAGCTATAATGAAAAATAATAGAAGTTCAGGGAGACTAAAAAGGATGCTTGTTGACTTCCAATAAATAGCCAAACGCTTGATTGCTGTTATTGTTATTGTTGTTGCGACTCATATCGACCCTATGTACAACAGCCCTAAACTCTGCTCTGTCCTGTGCCAATCGCACTGCCTTTGACACACCCATCCCGAGTACCCCAGTCACTGAATCAATCCACCTCATAGAGGGTCTTCCTCTCCTGCGCTGTCCCTCCACCCTCACAAGCATGATGTCCTTCTCCAAGGAAATGATCCTTCCTTGCAGCATCTCCAAATTATGTCAGACGAAGCCTCAGAATCCTTGCCTCCAAGGAGCAGCCTGGTTTAACCTTCTCCAGGCAAACCTGTTCATTCTCTTAGCAGTCCATGGTATATCCAATACTCTTCTCCAGCACCACAGCTCAAAGGCATCAATTCTCCTTCTGCCATCCTTAGTCATTGCCCAGCTCTCTGATGCATAGTAAGTGATTGCAAAGACCATGGCCTGTATCAGATACATCTTAGTCTCCAGAGTGACACCATCACTCTTCAGTACTTTGGAGAGATCCTTAACAACAGACTTTACCATCGCAATATGTCTTTTAATTTCCTGGCAGCTGGTGCCAAGAGTGTTGACTGTAGAGCCAGGCAAACTAAAGCTGTGAACAATCGCAGTCTCTTCACCATCCATCCTGATGCTGCCAATTGGCCCAGCGGTGAAAATCTTTGTCTTCTTGATATTGAGACTCAATCTGTAGTGAAGGCTGCAGTCCTTGACCTTCTGCAGCAAGTGCTGCAGGTCCTTTGATTACTAAGTAGAAAATAATGAAAACACACATTCAGATGGCAGCAAAGGATGGATGGAAAATGGAAACACAGGCAGGGGCTGGGGTGGATTATGACAGATTACTCTAAAAAGAGAACTGAAGCTATTCTGCATGATGCTCTGATGGCAGATATATGACATCATGAATGCGTCAAAGCCCACAGAGCCACTCAAGTCCAAGAGTGAACCCAAACGTGAAGTTCGAACTTTAGCTAAAAATAATTTATGCATCTTAGTTTCATTGATTATAACAAAAATATCACACTAATGCACAATGTTGATAATAGGAGAAATGGGGGTGGGGGTGAAGAGAAGGGATGTATGTGGTACATACATACATACATACATACATACAGATTGTGTGATATTTTTGTAAATCTAAATGTCTTAAAAATTTGAGACTGTTTAAATATTTTTATAAGATGAATTTAATTTTTTGAAAACAGAAATAAAGACTAAAATTGACAATTCCTTGTACATTCAGATCCAACTTGCATTCAGCCATACAAAAGAAATTGTGAGGTCATATTGCACTGAACGTGAGGTTTTATGAAACACTGGATTTGTCCAGTCCAAATTGATTAACTTTAGAGTTTTGTTTTTCTTCATGTTTGAAATTCGAAGTCCAAGTTAAGAAACATTTTAGATAAAGAGCAGAGTATTTGGTGACTTCCAATAAGTAGCAAAATGGTTGAATCGTAAGTGGAAAGTAATAAACACACACATTCAGAAGGCAGGTAGGGGTGGGGGAAAGGATGAATGAAAACTGAAAACACAGGTTAAGGAGTGATATGATTGGTGTTACCTGATGAAGACTGAATCAATGGTGTGAAGCTAAATGTGTGGGAATTAGTGAATGACAATCTGACTTGCTCTGTAAATGTTCACCAAAAACACAATGAAAGTTGCAAAGTGGAGTGTACTGGGGTGGGGGGTGGGGATTGTATACCAATGAAGGAATTTTTCTTTTACTTTTCAAAGAGAAAAGTGAGCTGGGTGGGTAGGGGTGGACAGGGAGAAAAATGTAACAATGAATGAATGGAAATCCAAAATCTCTGTAAATGTTCATTAAAATTAATACAATAAATTAAAAAAAAAAGATGTTGCAGGATCAAAAAAAAAAGTTATTTAAAAAAGCAAAACAACAATTCAAGGTGCTGAGTGACTCACATCGCCCTCCCAGAAGCATTTAAATGTCTCTCTCCTTTTCTTCCAGGGCTCGCCATTGCCAGTGCCCTAATAGACATTTCACAACAGAAGCCTTCGGAGAATAAAGATAAGACGTCAGGCGTCCGGAATCGAAAGCATCACCTGTCAACACGCCAAGGGACTTGTGTCTGAGGAACTGTTCTTGTGTGCTCTGTGAAGTTCTCCTTCAAGGCTGTTCTATAGCCTCAGTTTTTATGGAGGCGGACCTCAGTCGGACCCCAGGGCCCAGTACAGCTCCCTCTGATGGGCAGTGACCCTCGTGGCCAAAGAATGACCAGAGTTGAATTTTTATAAAAGTAGCAGTGTTGATGGTCACAAATGATAGTCTGTTTTTATGATGATCTGAGACTCATCACAGATATGTTTAGATTACTCCTGGGGGGAGGGGGGAAGGAAAGGATGTATATTGTTTCTTATTGCAGATGAAAAAATATGTAATTCATATGAACCAAACTGTTTATATTCCAAGACTTTAAAGAAAGACATTTTCTAATGCCTGACTGATGAGAATTGTACAGTTTTTGCCTCATAAGCAAATTTTGAATCGCCTCAGAACAGGAAATGGACAAATTACAATGGCTTTAAATGCTGTTTTATCTCATTGTAAATGGGAATGACTTGATTTCTTTAGCAGGTGTAGCTAACGTATTTAAATATTTTACATGCCAATATCAGGTCCAAACTCAGTCTGAGGACATGACGATTTTCCACCTAAATGGAATGCTGACCAAAATGAGTCCATCCGGACAGATGCTGTGGGCACCTTCCGAGGGGGTTATTAGAATTCTGCCTGAAGAGGACATGCCTGGCAACAGTGTCAATTGCCTAAGTCATTATCAGAGCTGATAGAGCATGGAGAAGCCTGTCCAGCAATCAATTCTCCCCTCCTTCCAAAAACAGCCTCTGATCCCCCAAACCTGAAGAGCTCTCACGTAGTTCTTTGACGACCTGCCAAGTTCTGCTCCAATATGGTAATTTTGTAATTGCCTCAGAATCATTGGATTACACCAAAGGGAACCTTCTGCATTTTTCTACGAAAAGATCATCTTCTGTTGGTCTTTCTCTTCTAGCTGTTAGGTGTTACCTATCTTCTTCACAACGGCTCTGAAATGTGTCTTAGAGGTGACACTTCCCAAGTTATAATGTGATCTGACTTCCTTCCTGGCACCTGTACCACTGAGAAGATAAGTACAGAGGGGCATTTACTGGGAAGCATCAGCAGTATTCTCATGCCTGACGTGAACACATGGGTGTCATAAGAGAAAAGCTCCACTCTGACAGATTAAGTTTTTGTTATTTTTGGCCCGTGTTCAATATATTCTCAGTGGCTTAAAAAAATCTGAATTATGGCCAAAACAAGGGGGGAAATTATCCACAACAGTTAATCTATTGGAGCATAAAATCACTTCTGTCCTAATGTTGACAAAGGTTGACTGGAGCCCAGTTCTATGGACAGCTCACGTTTGGAATCACAGTGTCTTACCATCAGGCTGACTGCAGGAGATATGGAAAACACCGTGCCAGACATCCAAAGCCATTGTCTTCGATACAGTTTTGTCCACGATGAAAGCCATTTGAAAGTAACTGATGTTTAGCTCTGTACCTGTACTTTTCATGATCTTTGGATTCTCTGGAAGGTGACGACACCTTACTGTTTACAGCTGATGCAGAGTTACTTGCATGCAGTGGTTGTGCAGTAGCAGAACATGACCCTATTGTAACATTAAGTGTTTACTTCACAATGCCATTTATACATAGTTGGCTTACCCTGATGAAGACTGAATGTCAAATATAACCGGAATGAGCAAACAGTATGTAGTTGCCTCTGATAAAAGACTGTTAGGTTGCATCTAACCATGACTATGTCATTTTTTTTTTTTTTTACAATTAGGCATTTATGAAATAGAATATAACTTCCTTATGTTGGCATGATAATATTTCTATTCTCCATGAGCTAAAAACTACAACTAACACTTAGAATACTTTTGTATCTGCCTGTGAAGGTTTTGGGGGTATATGAGACTGGTTGTTTTTCTCCACTTCTATTTTCTCTCTCCAAGAAGCAATGAGCCGAGTTTGTAAATGTTTCCTAAAACATCCAAGTAATTTCATCAGCTTCTTTTTAGACCCTTTAAGTATTGCATTTTTTTTCTCATGGGAAAATAAAGGGATGAAACTGGTGATTACAAAAATACAATCACTTAAAAATAAAATAATTGCCCAATTTGTTTAATTCTGTCATAGTTGCTGCAAGAGAAAACATATATATAAGAAAAATACAAAAATACACAGAATTGCATGTACAATCTATTCCTGCTATATTTTTAGAGGCTAAGCAAATAGTATTATTCTGAAAGAGTTCTCGGGCTTCATCCACCTTGAATCTCACTGGTTCTTAAAACTTGAGAATATACATTTCAGAGAATTCTGAGTAAAATGCAATGTTATATTAAAGTCATCTGATACCTTTCTGGGCCGATTATTCCTAACTCTGTGAGTAATTATGCAATGTCTTCACTTATCAAAGCTTTTTTTTGGCAATAAAATTCTTCTCCCTCAGGTGAAGTACACAGAAAAGACTTTAGGGAGAATCACTTTCACTTTGAATCAGTCTGGGTGTGTGGTGAGTGTGTTTCTCTGGTTCATTTAAAAAACAAACAAACAAACAAACCCCCAACATATCAGATATACCACCAAAAAAGCATATGCAAATCGTAGCCAAGAAGTTAGTAGCCAAATGACTTATAATTATCCTGAAAAAGTATCTTAATATTTCCATTCTGAATGATTCAGAAAATATCTTTAGACTTTGGAATTTTTTTATTTTTGTGACGCATGAGAAGAAAACCATATACTGTGTACTGTATACTGCTGAGTTTCGCCCAACAAGAGAACTTTAGCTAGGAAACATTTAACTATGTATTTGATACTTCCTGTAGCTCATGACACAACCCTGCTTGCTGAGACTGAGGAGGACCTGAAGCACTTGCTGCGGAAGGTCAAGGACTATAACCTTCAATATGGATTGAAGTTCAACATCAAGAAAACAAAGATTCTCACCACTGGGCCGATGGGCAGCATCATGATGTAGGATGAGACTGAGATTGTTGACAACTTCAGTTTGCTTGACTCTACAGTTAACATTCCTGGTACCAGCAGCCAGGAGGAAATTAAAAGATGAATTGCATTGGGAAAGTCGGCTGCCAGAGACCTCTCCAAGGTACTGAGGAGCAATGATGTCAGTCTGGAGACTAAGGTGTGCCTGATCCAAGCCATAGTCTCTGTAATTACTTGCTATGCATCAGAGAGCTGGACAGTGACTAGGGATGTTAGAAAGAGAATTGATGCCTTTGAGCTGTGGTGCTAGAGAAGAATATTGAATATACCATGGATGGCTAGAAGAACAAACAAGTTCATCCTGGAGAAGGTGAAGCCAGGATGCTCCTTGGAGGCAAGGATTCTGAAGCTCCGTCTGACATACTTTGGACATGTTGCAAGGCAGAATCAGTCCTTGGAGAGGGATATCATGCTTGGGAGGGTAGAGGGACAGAGCAGGAGAGGAAGACCCTCAATGAGATGGATTGATTCAGTCACTGGGGTAATGGGGATAGGCATATCAGAGACAATAAGATTGGCAAGGGATAGAGCAGTGTTTAGGGCTGTTGTACATAGGGTCGCTATGAGTTGCAGGTGACTCACGGCACATAACAACAACATTTGATACTTGCTGTACCTCACAATAAGATACAACTTTTAACCATATATTTGATACTTGCTGTACTTCACAATAAGATACTGTACTTCACAATAAGATACAGCAAGTTGCCAGTGACTTGATAACTGTTCTCTGGCCATAGGGTCCCCTTGAGAGCAGATTCGTGGACAGATGGACAGGTGTAAAATGTGGACTCTGGAACCAACTTTGATGTGTATAGCTTTGTTCAAGTTTTGAACCTTGTGTAAAAGGAGTGTAATAGTGGCCACTTATTGAGATGTGCGGGAGGAGATAATACCATCAAACACGTGCCTAATGACCCTGGAGCAACCACACCACCCTCTCCACAAATCCTGTTAATTCTCCACCCATCTTCGCACCAAAGGGGAAAGCTGGGTAGGTTTCTGCAAATAAAGATTTCAAGAAAATACCAACTTCCTACATTTCTAGGCTATCCTAGGGATTTCTGAATTACTTTTTTTTTATTTCCACTCTGATGCTTGGATCTATTGAAGCTTTATTTCCAAAAAGAAATATTTTCTGTGATTTTTTTTTCATTGCTGCTGAATGGCATTTAAACAGGAACATCAAGTGTCACTTTTCATGTAAAATTTCAGTCAGAAGGGAAGGAGTCCTTATGGTTGAGGGTTTTTTGTTTGGTTTTCGCTTTTTATTGTGAAGGTCTACAGAGCAGAACAATTTTCCTTTCAGCCATTCATACTCATTTTGGGTGAAAGTTTACAAGCAAATTGGTTTTCCCTTCAAGAGTACATACACATTTTGTTTAGTGACATTGACGGCTATTCTAGTTTTGTGACACTGATTGCAGTTTTTCCATTTGTTGTCATACATGGTATGTCTCCATTGAACATAAAATGATTTGAAAAATATTTTACATAAGAGATTGACTTAAAAAAGAAGCCAATAAAGTCATTCTAGCCATGCACACTTTTTACATTTTTTTTTTATTTTATACTAGTTTACATAGAAAGTTTATAAAGTTCGTGTACATTGGTTCTCACACTGGATCTTTCCTTCACCCACCCCACCTTTCACCCATCAAATTGTGTGACCCTATGATTAAGCACCCCCTCTCTCCCTTTGATCCTCACACTCATTCTGCAATAATGATCTTAAACAGTATTTGTCTTCATGAAACTGAGTTAGTTCACTTAGTACAGTGCTCTCCCGTCCCTCCCATGTAAGGTAGTAATTTTTTT